CTCCTTGTGGACATGGCCTGGCGCCTGCACGCACTAGTCGTCGCGTGGTTGCTGCTGTCCGCCAGACCCGCAGGAAAGACTGCCTGCTGGGTCGCAATATGAATCGGAGGCCTGCTGTCTGGTTCACCAAGAGTCCGTGCTAGGCTGAGAGAGCGCCGTGGCAGTATGGTGTCTTGGCGTGCGACTCTGGTATTACTGCAGACATACCGGCCTCTGCGACAGTCAGTCAACCCTCTGCGGTCTCGTATGCAAGAAGAATTGGTATTGGCTTGATTCACAATTTTGGCCTCAAACCTTTGCTGGTCAGTTGACAAAAGAAAAAGGATAAAGGGCAGGGAGGAGGAGGAGGACTTGGAACACCTACACGGCACAAGGCCAGCGTTGTTGAGAAAAATCATTTTAAAATGAAATCTGATTCGGATTCTGAGCGGCCAAATATTATTTTGTTCGGGAAAATGACCACTCCAGCTGTCGGTTCTTCTGGGTGGCGCAGTTTTATGAGTACCTATAGTTCCTAGTAAATGCAGTGCTTAGATATATATTTGCTGTTTTACGGGATACCTAAAGGAACAAAGCACGGATGTAGTAACCCCTTTACTCCGGCGGCCCTGTGCTAATTCCCAGGGAGATAAAGTCTATTTGTAACATTCAGATTAAGGTAGAATTCTAGTAAGGAGTAGGAATACACCGTGAAGTTAGAGTAGCGTTAGGGTGCTGACTTGAGCTCTACTCATCCTGGAATGTTTTACAAGGCCATGTGTCTTACCGGGAAGTTCTATTCCCGTGTTTTAAACTTCAAAATATTTAAATATGCAATATTAGCTCTTGTTCCGTCTGTTGTGTCATATTCCACAGGAAGTACTGCTAAGCAGGAGGAAACGAAAAAATCCAACAGGATCCACTTGTTCTGAACAGATGCCCAATGAGTGCGGACGACTTTAGACCAGCCCGCGATTGACTGTGTCTCATGTGTAGACACAATAAACGGATGAGGAAAAGACTGGACCACTGGAATAAGCAGTTGGGATTCAAATTTTCAGGTTACCACCCAAGCCGATCATCAGCGACAGCAACAGGATTTAGGGGTCGCAGTCGCTATGCCATTCCTCACATATCAAAACTAGCAGCCTTAGCATTCATCACAGGAGTTCTTACTGAGAAAGGTGATTTGATGAACCTAAGTATCGTGATTTCATCGGCATTGTTGGCCTTTGACTTCACCAGTGCCTCCCGTGCCTCATTTATGAGCCAATCATTTTACTCAATGGTTACGCAGTTTGTCTGCCTGCGATTGGCTGCCCCCCGAGGAAGACTGCACACGTCTTTCATTCGCTCAACAATGTGTCGCTCACCTGGTGCATTTGACAACTACGGAAGACTTGCATGCACTTGCAACGCTAGGCACCGCTGTAAAACTAAGTACGCAGATAGCACAAGAACCGTTTCCACAGCGAGTAAGGTAAAAAAAAGTACTGTCGTCGACAGTCCTCCGTCCTTTCAATAACGCAATCGAGGGACAGCTTAGAATACGGACAGATTCTAATGACTGAGTGATCAGTAATGTTGAAAAGCTAGGAATGTTCTTGTCCAAATATTTTTATTGCCTAGCAGGCTATTTTCCCATAGTTTGTGACTGCAGAATGACCAATAGTGTTTTTTAGCACTGGACCATCTGAGAACCGATGTAGACTTTAGTTCTAGATGACCATTCCTTTGGAATAGTAAACCTTTATGACGTGGTTGCTGTGGTCAGTCCGTAAAGGCCCAAGACCTATTAGGCAATTTCTGTCTGAAAAACAACCCCAACTCTGAAGTGTTTAAATGTGTTAAAGCACTAGGAAAGAAAGATGATTTAAGGGCAGATGTTTCGTTGTATAGCGAATTTTCTAGAATAGACCAAAAGATGAGAAAAATGTTTCAAAAGATATCGGTTATACAGACTCACCTTGCTGGACCGGACGCCGCCATTAAATACACCATAGGGATCTTTTATATAGGCGTGATAGTGACCACCGCATGCAGTGTTGCCAACGTGAATGACCACGGAGAACAAGTCGTACAGCACTTCCTAGAATGCAGGTAATATTTCCAACCAGGTATACAATCATCAAGGGCCAAATATATTTGCCTCTGCGACTGATAGGCTAATACTTTAATCGCATTAACTACTGTCATTGACAATCCCATTATGACCAATGCAGATTAACATTTTGTTTCGTATCCACCACTAATACGGTTAATACTGTTAAGTATAGTAAAATGAGTAACACTCTACAATAACCAAAGTGGGATTATCAATTTTAATAATATTTTCGGCCGAGAATGCCTAAGGA